CGCCTCCTTTAGCAAGTTGCAAGGCAAGGAATTTGAACTTCGCTTGACATTTCAGGCGACCATCGTAGCCTCTAAAGGCAGTCTTAACTAATTAAAGGAACATCTAGTACATAAAGCTGCTACTGTTAATCCGACTAAGCGTACTTTATTTAAATTTAATTAATTTGAAGCAATAATACAGCGAAAACAATTTTTCATAATGAGGTAGCCTATTCGTGCTCTTGGATTAATACAAACCTACCTATATAACCAAGGCATACTGAAATCATATAGAGTAGTAACTAAAAACTACTCCAATTTCTTGGCTCAATTTCGTAGTAGTGCTTCGTACGTGCTCATAATAACGAGGTGCTTAGTTCTAGGTACATTCATTTTTTATGTGTGCTTTACAATCCAAATCGATGCATTATAAGTGTATACGGTCAACCTAACCCTTCTTTGTAAGAGTCATCCGCCTACATCAAAAGAGTACATAGTTCAAATAAACAAACCGATTATTTCAGGGTTGTGCCGAAAAGGGATACTAACGACGCGTGCGCCGAAGGTCTGGAAGCACCGCTTAATAACTTCCATATTCATTTTTTTAGTAATGTTCTGCCAAGTAACGGTAGAAAAATAATTACAATTAAGTAATCAGTATATCTAGTGTACGTGCGGCGATCGTTGAGTTAAGTTTCATCGTTGGCAATTGCCTACCGTGGCATATGGTCATTACGCCGTTTTATAAATCCGTTGGAGGAACCCTGGGTAGGCTCTGTATGACCTACCATGGTCACGCATTCTAGTGGAAGAAAGCTCTTGATCCTACATCGAAAGAGTGATTCAAATCTGATATTTGTTTACACAGTAGGAATAGCCGAAGGCGTTGAAAAAAATCTTATCTAAGAGTTTTTATTGAACACAACTGTTCTTACTATCCAAACATTATCATTGATTCTAAGAGTCAACTGCTTTCCGTTTTGCCCTTTAGAACGGGGTATGACTTCTCTGAGTATAACTATGGGAGATGAGGTACCGAAATGGAAAGTAGCCAACTAAAGCGATGATTGTGATCGTTTCTCCGTTGTTTTGGGCCTGCGAAAAAGGCCGGTTAGTCGTTCCGACCACCGATGCCTTCCCTTGCATTACCAATGTATGGTAGTGCTGAGGCGCGAAATATAGAGAGGGAGAAAAGGGCGTTGGGGGAGATCCTGCCCTTCTATCTTCTTAGCCACGTTGAGGCTAACCTCCCAGCGGCCTAAGGGAAGTACGGGAAACTCCGCCGAACGCCACTAAGGGTCACAAGGGAGATGCCGCGCGCGCTGAAGATGCTGCTGGCCTGTCGAGTCTTTTAGTGCTTTTTGGGGTCGTGTCGGCTTCGGAGAACGCAATATATAGACAGGCATAAGGTGAAACGTACGCTCTCTGCCAGCACTGCGTTTTCTAATGCAGCAAAGTAGGTGAAAGTGGGTCAGCGTGTTTTTTCCTTGCAGCTACCCAACATACGACATGAGTAGAGGTCCAGTATAGACGCCAATGCAGGCCACGGGTCAAGGCGCTCTACGAGTGCGCGAGGCAGTCTTGAAGAAAGAACGGCCCTGCAAAGGTTGGCCTCGTCCTTTTTCCGTTTTCATATCTACTACAGCGGGCGGCTGCCGCGCACACTCTCAGCGTCCAGTACTCTCCAACGTATACTATACACCCCACGAAAAAAACAAATCAACAGAGAGCGAGAGACATTTTATAGCATTTTTCTTTAACTTTGTGGCGCTATTTCTCCTTCTCAAATACGAGAAAAGATGATACAAAAAAAAATAGATACGGGGAAACACATATCCACACACATACATACACAGTCATGCAAGTACAGAGGCATGAACGCATAAAGCACAGAGTACGCACTTCTCGAATTATACACACATGCACTTCCACATTTACGAACAAGAAGATACAGTCATGCCAAGTGTAAAATATATGACATAGTCGGCCTGCAGCTATTCATTGTTGTACCTCCACAGAGCCACGGTGAAGCATGGTTAGAGACTCAGTTGAGATTCAGCTACGGAAATGAGGAGATGGCAGTACTTATGCTGGGATTCCGAGCAAATAGTCCTGAATCCCTTCGCGTGGCTGGCAGAGTTAGTGCATTGTTGGCAGACAACGTTCCACTGGTGCAAGACTGGCCTTGAACGAACAGCGGGCAGTTGATTTGGCTGAAAGCCTGGAGGACCCTTGGACCCGGCCACCGACCGATCGACAGAATAAACGTCGTGTATAACAAAGCAGGAGAAAGCCTCTCTTCGGTATCCCTGTCGCTGTTATATCAGCCAAACTGAGTTCGCTGTAGTCCAACTCTCGGAGTGCCATTCATTGAGAGCAGAACAACGAAGATGACAACGGGCAACTACAGCAGACTCCAGACTTGGCGACCGCTTGGTCCCACTTGGTCGCTAGCAGAAGCAGCGCCAGTAGTACTACAGCTGACGGCCTACGTAGCAAATCCTAGCTCCCCGACCCAACGAACAAGGCATACCTAAAGAGAGAGAAGCATACCTAAAGAAGCACAGTATACGCTTAAAGCAGTAGCTCAGTAAACGTCGCTCAAGGGCTTTGCTCTTATTTAATGGCAGGAGGAAAAACAGCGGCGATAAGGCAGACGATGAAAAAGGAACGTACGTACGCCTGTATTGTGTGTGAACCATGGAAAAAACGCAAGACGAATAACGCCAGCAACGGTAACGGACGCCACCATTTTTAGTTCAAATGGAAGTAGAATAGTGAGCCTCATTAGACTGAACGCGGGGCACAGAGACTTTCGCTTGTAGCATATCACCTATGAGTCATTTCCGTGATTCCGCTTAGCTCTTTCTGGGTAGTTGTGACACAATATCTCTTCCTTGTCGTGAATTTAGGTAGAATGTGAGGGTATCGAGTAACTGCTGGAGTGAGTACGCCTGAATAGCTTCCAGCGTAACATCCAGCGTGTGTATAACGTAAAACACGATTATACATTTTGTATTTAGAATGTTTAGATCCTAATTCTAAATCAAATCATTACGTTCAACCAGAAAACGTTGATCCAAATCTTGGAAGGTAGGGCTATTCGGATAGCAGAAGTATCTTTTTCGCATTGCTACACAATGAAAAGCAGAATAATCACCTCAATGTTCTATCATGGTTTCGTTCATCTAAAAGCCACTAATTCTAGCTATATTATACACTATTATTTATATAAAACGCCGTCTACTGTTCACTATACAAAGATATCAATAAAATTAAATGGCATCTAGGTGTAGCTTGTCACACTAAATGTTTATAGGCCACCCTTATTAAGTTTCTCTTGATAACAGCTGTAACATCTGTATTCTCATAAAGCAGGGCCGAACGACAGTACTATCGGCGATTTGACTCAGACGTTGATAGTACATCCGAGTCAGATTGTACCTAAACATTCTCAATTCGCGAAGAGCTCAAACTTCATGCCCTTTAAGCCTCTACAGGCGTGCTTGCTTCTTTTTCGTTGGGCAAACTTATTTGGCGGCAGAGTCAAAGAATAGAATTGTCGAAGATGAAAAAATATCGCCAGGAAACGTATACCATCTCGAAATGTATCAGTATATCCACAATTGATGCGCAGTATTTCAAGAAAACTATGCTAATGCGTGCATATAACCGAGCTTTGGCAGACCGGTCTGGGCATATCGGTAGGAATAGGTTTGAAGACTGTCGTAAGCACTTCACTGTTCCCTTAAGAAGTCACGTCTGCTAATTATGTACAATCACAAGACTCACATACGTTTAAATGTGTCCAAGTGAGCTCTGGACAAATGGACGATGTTTACATCGTTACGACTTCCCCATACTGATCAAACCAGCTACACCTTCTCCTCAACCCATGCAGCCTTTGCGACGTCTAAAGCTCAACAGAGCTTTGCTACTAGGAAGGTCACAATCTAAAGCATGATCGAGTCGGCAAACTGTTTGTACGACGAATCGTTAAACATATCGTTAGTGTTCCAGAAGACAGGTACGTATTCACAGAAAGTGTTTCTCTTTCCTTGAGTGACACAAACTGGGTACACTCAGCCCAACACGAAGTGCCGTCCTACCAGAACACCCATTTAAATAGGCCCCGTTGCAGGCAGCCCCATAACCGATTATCGTCCTATCAGAAAAAAAGCAGAAAACAGTGCCCGTAAATAATCCGGTATTCGCACGAAACAATATCAGTGCTTCTGTGTTTGAAAATATCTCATTTGGCTTACTTGCTTCAGCTTTCCAACAAACTCAATTACCTTCAACTATATTGTCTGCTGCTCATTTGTATATCGATGTTTGTTACAATACCATTGAAGGAATTTTGGAAGTCTTCAACTCGGGTTACAACAGCGGTCCCTGGCAGCTTTAATCACTTTAATTGGCTTCTCTGTATAGAATCATGGGTGGCCCATTATAGTCGTACCTGATGGGGATATGCGGGCCAACGACATAAGGATCTCTAATAAACGATCCTTGCAAAACTAGCAGTTGTCTCCCATTTGATCCATGAGATCGAAAAGTTATCGGCAAATATACCAGCAAATAATTACAGCAGCGGTTTTCCTTAACAATGGCATCTTGTACATACAACTCCGTCTATATATGGGATGCTATTGACTGTGACGACCGCAGCTGGTTATTTGTGCACTTGGTTTTTATACGTTAAGACTTAGCTAAACAGGAAAAGTTTGAAGCACGAAGGATTCCTTCAGCTCGTTCGTCTTCTGCTCCATTCAAACGCTCGAATATGGCAGACGAACGAAGGTGAAAGTAGAATCTTAACCTTAAGTAAGCTATACATTAATTTTAGCGATCGGTTAAGTATTTGCTTGGCCATAGCTTTCTTGTCATAGAAGGTAGGTGACTGGTTGAAGTTCGACCTCTTTGGGCGAACATCAAAATGTTTCAAAGATTTATATCGAAACGTTGCTTTCTTTTCTAAGTGATAGCTTGGATAGAGTTTGGCAAAAATTAAATCTTACCTCGTATTAAAACGGTGAAATAGATAACGAGATTACGCGACAGCGCCACAGGGTAATAGTAAAGTTTAGGGGTCGGATTAACTGGGGTCTCAGTAAGACGCTTCCGTTGCTCGAGCTTAGCATGACGGTGCTGAAATATTATACGTTAGAAACTTCAGTCAGGGTCAATGTTTTCTCCCGCTGGGGCATACATAAATCTTTCAACAATCAAAGGGAACTTTCGATTAGTAGGAAGGAACAATCCTTAGCCAACATCATCTGTCATTGCTAAACGCAAGTAAAAAAATCGCCAGAAATTTCAGATACCTCAGTATTCTCATTACCTTCGTTGTCTTATAGTCATTTGTATTGTATTTATCGGGGGAACGAGAAGAGTTCGCGGTGAGGCGAGAATTCATTGCCCAATATGGTCTGAAGGAGAAATTAAGCGGAATTTCAGGTATTTCTATTACCTGATACAGATTCAATGATGAGCAGAATCAAATTGACCCTTTTTCCCTCGATTAGATCGTCACTCGGATCATGTGCTTCTGGCTACCAAGTAATCGAATTTTGAGCCACTTATCTTTTGTTCGACAACATAACAACAACTAAAGAGAACAGTACTATTGATCGTACGTTGCCGGTTTGAAACTGGCGTTGAAACGTTAAGGGATGTTTCCCTAAGCGCGTAAGTTAGTCCAGTTAACTCCATGAAGCGCCCGTCAGTCAAGTAGTTCATACCATACTTTTATAAAAAATGGCCATCTAAATATTGTTATTTCAGATAATTTATAACTTTATTCATTTTTAGATAATTCGCTGTGGGATCTGAGCGATCCGAAGCGAAAAACAGATACACATTTAACTTTAATTCGTACTTCGTATATATCTAAAATAATTGTCAATATCTGAAGAGTGTCTGAGTCTTCATTAGATCCTTCCTGTGCGATAGGCGATCGCCGATTGGGCAAGAGATTAAAATTAAAAAGCATACATTCCTCTGTACACGCTAGCCATCGAACGGAAGTTCTGTGGTGTTGCACTTTGCAAGCTGAAAAAGACAAATTCAGCACTACTACGACAGAAAAGGTGCTTTGGTAGCCAAGTAAATTGGGTCCAGGAAAGCAGCTGTTTCATAAAGGATGTTAGATGGGCAGGTGGCATCGAACGGGCAGGTGGCGGAGTAAAACCCACATGATCTACTGAAGGCGAACTAGAAAACTCAACATTATGTGGAAAAGCTGAGACAGAATTTACTCCCGAACCTTCTTTCGAGGAGGTAAGCTGAAAGCCTGAGTTCTGTGTAGCTCTGCTCATATATCGCCTTGACTGAAAGCCGTTCGAGGTTGTTCCGTAAAATATCATCAGCAGTATCAGACGAATCAAAAAAGGGAATAATAACAATGCTAATAATTATTGCTCATCGAGCCATATTTTCTAGCATTTGACAGATGAAACAGCTCTACTATACATACAGTGAGTACATTGTACTTTCGGAATGAACCAAGCGAATGATCGTAAGCACGACTCAAAAACGTTTGAATGTCCTTCCGCGTGGACTCTTGACCTTTTTTTAAGGCTCTTAGAATAAAAAAGAAGAAGAAATTCAGAAAATTTCAAAGGTATGCCGCAACGTGATTCGGGTCGTTGAAAAACCCTGATATTTACTCTTGCTAAAATGGCTTTAAAGAAGCAACTCGAGTCCATAGATTACAGTTTTTTTTTTATACACTTTGTGACAACGCATCATACGCTTGCAATGGGAACAATTTACTGAGAACAAGACTAATCAAGCATAGCTTGTTTTTGCAAATACCTCACTATATAAAAAAAATCCGGTAAAAAATAACAGAAGTTGAGCATCGGACTTCTCCTAGTATGATGCCGGGAAACACAAAACGTATAAGCACTAACAGGCGGGTTTTGCATAGTGTTCAAGTTGTATGTCGAAGCATGTTATGCTATAGGAAATTAATCGGAAAATTTGGTATAGACAGTTCCGCGGAAAAGCATACATTGCCACCCTAAATAAAAAAACAACCAGAGTAGAAAAGGAAATTTTTCTCAGGACCACCCGATATGAGTTATTTAATTAGTAGCAGCATACTGAACAATTATGGCAACGTTTAATCCATATTCACAACAGTCATCCCCTCTAGCACGACGTCAGACATGTGGCTTATATCATTTACTCGGCACAAGGGTCACAAGTCACGACAACTTCAAGTCAAACATGGCGGATGTTTAAAAGTGGACTTCAGCACTGGTCAACGATATAGCGCTACATCTCGGGGTAAATTTGCCAACTTGTTTAAATGATTCGCTCACATGCCACAGGTAAAATCGGCCCTAACTAAGGTGTCTATTGCGTCCTTCGAGAATACATCTCACGTCGCGTTTCTGCTACCCAGGTCGAATCAAAAAGTTAATTACTGAAACAAAAATAGAATAATAACTCGATATGGAAATTCGAGTAATTATTAGATATGACTGCAACCCAATCCTCGAATTCCCCATAACCAGGGCGTAACGCATTGTTTGTCTAGAAATTGTTAGCTAGTATCCTCATAACAGGTTTCTTCTCCCATTATACTGTAGTATCGTTACGAAGACACAGCCTAATGGATTCATGCGTACTAATTAAATTTTCCCGAGAAGATTCAAGTAAGCTAGATCCCTAACGATGACTAGGCCAAAGAGCGCCCTTCGAGGGTGAAGGTTAGATAAGACAGAATAGGTGGCGGATGAGATTGGGCAGGTTTCGGGGGATAAGGGACCCTGCCATGAAAGGCGAGGGGACCTACCACCACGAGTAGACACGAAACGTTGGATCTCTGAATTCTGCCAGAGAAGGAGATTTTGGCAAGAAAAAGCTGCCACTATAGGAGAACGCCAGTTGAAGCAAAGCTTTCAATGAATCGAATCGGAAACCAGACAACCAGGCGCGAGCCGCCTTACGGCTCCTTTAGCAAACAAACGATAGCGTCCCGCCGAATACTATGACCCTTTTTTCGCCTGCAGTCTGCCCGCGCCAGGATTCTACAGTGGGTCAAGTTCTGCAGAGCGCTTATACGTAAACATCTGAAATCAAGACTAATCGTGGCCATGATACTAACGGATATAAAGAACGGCAGAGTGCGTTCCGCGTTCAATATATAGCTTAGGTTGGCCAAATACAACCATAATCATATCGTACACATATAAAGCGTTTGAGGCAAGGGCGCCAAGCTCAACTAATAAGGTTTGCCGGTAATCCAAGCATGGTGGGCAACTGTCATTTGTAGTACATTGCAATCGTACCAGTAGTCGGATTAGTTTCGTGAACGCATATATATCACTTTATATGGCCGTCTATTTTTAGCTAGGCAGTGCTTCTTTTCCGATTTAAATTTTTCTCAGGAACTTGTTCCTACCTTACAAATCTGGCCATATAAAAATATGTAAACTTACACACGGTACGATTAAAAAAGTTGCGTTTACACATGCAAAATGTGGGCGACTAACACAGCTTTGCGTACTGAGAGCTCTACTCGGCCACCTCGGCCGGCCACTTTCCCTAATATACGTGTTAAGCCGTTCTGTAAATCATGTAACGTAATTTGTAGACGCATGCACAAAGTATAAAAATCAGGCCGGGTTCCTAATGCGTGTGGGCATCGTTGGTTTCTGCATAAGTGTTTTTGATGTGCGAATAGTCGTTACCAATCGTAGAGGCGACAATTTTACACTGATATAAACATTCACAACTTAAGCAGTTGCCCGTGAATCAAACGTAATGATTCTAGTCCTTCCAACGTTACTAAGATCAGACGCATTGGAGAAGCTGTACGCTTTGTGGCTCTATTGGAAAGCCAATAAGAGTCACCGAGAGTTAATCGTATCAAATGCTGATTTCAATAAGGTAGAATAGGCGTTTTGTGGCAGAACTTCGTAGCAGTAATCTCAGAATCCCATTTCCAAGAGGATCCAACTTCAAATAAACGCACCGCTAATTATTTGCTTCAGAAAAATCTTCGTAAAGGCTGAAAATAATAAAACCATATCAGGACAAGGTTCTGTTTGCCCGGAATCATCTGGTGACTGGATTGGCGTTCAACACATGGGGTTCCTCCGTCCATAATCAATGGTTTTTCAGCGTGGTCTGACAATAACACGGATCCGGGTCGGAGATAGTCAGGTAGTTTGTTCGGTATCTACATGACCGCACTATGGTGAACTATGGTCTGTGGCCAATATGGTGCGCAATGATGCCAAACCGCCGCCGAAAGTTGTCGTGTACGCAAGCAACTCGGATTCAGTCCGGTAAGACCGCTGTCAGTGCAATGAATATATAAATGAACTAAAACATTTATAACGTTACATTTATAGCGGGTCGTTATAGATTTTTTCGGTAAAGATACAAAAAGATAAATCAAATCTAGGTACTTAGAAATGTTTCCGCGGCGCTTGGTGGCAGAGCTCTGTTCCTGCTGCAAGTGAGCGCACATTCCGCTTTAGCTGCCAGGTTGTGCCAGAGTGGCCCGGGAGGGTTCGTCCAGAAGGCATAAAATGATTTGTGATCCTTCCCACAGGACGGACAAGTGTCCAACTAACACATTGGCACGCAATGGCACGCAGCTGTATAGAAGGAAAGAGACGAGCCGGGCGGGCAGACGCATCCACACGTACGATGCAATGACAGACGCTGAAATTTGCTAACTTGACTCTCAAGCGCTGCGTATTCCACCGTGACGTGTTGGACAACCTATCAATAGAAAGAGTTCAGAATTAGACGCTAGTAACGTGACTGTGCAAGTCTGAGACAAACGGAACTGTTTGGCAACCGATACCAGACAAACAAGACGTGTCTGTCGTACGACGTACATATGACACGGTTGCCTTTTTAATGATGACCATGCAGAAAAGCCAGTGTGTATCGGTCGTACAGACGTGTGTAGATCACTATTCGAAATCTCTACATCGTTTTTACTGCCAGTAGCAGTTCTCGTGTTGTCCGATTAGCAGGTAGGAAAAGAAAAACGAAAAAAGTAAAAAGTCTTCAGAGACAAGCCCTATATATTGTCAGAACAACCTGGGCCAGCCTGCTTATGTAGCAATATGCTAATTTGAGTTCGAGCAAACATTTACATTACTCGTTTAATGATCAGATTTATTGCTATACATTGTAGCATTGTTTAGGTGCTAAACCTTATTTTTCCTTTCGCTGTCCCTTCAAATTCTCCTTCTGAGCCTAACAAGACCCACTGAGGTTAGTTGTCTTCTCAACCACAGCCGATTATCCCGCATATATAAGCTCCAATATTAAGCATTTTAAGCATCTCCGCACACTGCTTCAACACAACCGACTTCTTCGCCCCATATTATGTGCTAGGCGCAATGTTTATTGTCTCTGCGATCCCTTAACTTAAGGAAATTCGTTTCTACTTGCTTTACCTCTTAAGGGCGTATGTGTTTGCGATCCCCTGAGTCCTCTTTCGGAGCACAGGGTTTCAGCAGTCATTCAAGGGCAGCGGCAATGCTAGAGTTATCGTGCCCAACTGGTGCAGTTTGCCGGCGGGCAGTGCTGCTAGCCTAGGCAACATTATTGGCTAGTTGACGCTGCTGACAAATCACGGATATTTTATAGAGAAGGCAAAAGGTGTAGATTAAAGGCTTAATGGGACAACGCTAACGTCCAGCAGACTAAGGTATTAAATGGGGCAGCAGCTGGTGCCGCTGTTAGGCTCCATGCTACGCACGGCAGTGAGAAAGCTCAGGCAATGGTCATCGCACAATATCCTCCATTACATGTATATGCACAGCGGAGGCGCTGGGTCGTTCGATCCCAATGCCCCCCCCCCCTCTCTCTCTCTCTCTCTCTCTCTCTCTCTCTCTCTCTCGTATGAGTAGTTTCTCCTTGTGCTAAATATTTTGCTTCTAGCCGCTGTCACCATATCGTCACTCCCGCAAGAACCCAACAAAATCCTGAGCTCACAGAGTAGAGTCCCTTATCGGTGTGAATGCGTTCCCGTCGGCCGCTCACACATGTCCCTAGATGAACAGCGCGGGATATGGCAGCAGGCAGTTCAGATGATGATGATGATTGGTTTCTTAGCACGCTTATCAGTGTTAAATGCATGATTGTAATGATCAGCAGCGACAGCACACGCAGCCGTGACTGGTTATGTCTGCTATATCTAGTTTTCATGGTTAAACGTCAGTGACCGGTTGGAAACTGAATGAAGCTACCACTGAGCTCGGCACGGTAATCTACGATGGAATGGAAGAGTATGGAAAAGTTAAATAACAACCTAATCTTGCCAGGTAAAATGAGACTCTCGTAAATGTCAAGCAAATGACCGTTTAGCTATTGTGAGATTTGAAACACATAATCATTTGAAGCCTAAAGCATAAGACTCAATGATGAGCTAGACTGATAGCTAGTAAAGGAGCGTATTCCCTCATTGACAATACTATATATATATATATATATATTCTGCTAACTAATAAAATTTCATATCTAATTATAGAAAAGTTAGGGAAAAATCTATCTTGAAAGCAGTTTTGTTTACTCGATGTAAACCTAGAGAAAGCATGTCCTTCTTGAAATGCACAGATACATACATATTCGTTGAATATAATAGGTTACTAAAAAAAAAAAAACAAACAAGCTGTAGACTGGTTGATTTAATAACACAAAGACGGGCGATATAAAATAACTGACTGGCCAGCCAGCCAGCCAGCTACCCAGCCAGTTTTTTTTTAGCGTTTTGGGGAGAGGAAGGCGAACCTGCAACGCGTTTGTGTCAACTCGCAACAACAGATAAAAACCAAGCCAGTAGTACGGATGCAGACTATGATATTTTGGTAGATATAGATCGAGCTCGTTGTTTTGCCTCGATAGCGATCATGCTTGCGTGTTGTCTTCCACTGTTATCATACTGGTTTAGGCTAAGGATCGTGGAATCAATTTGAGGATGGTGGTCGCGCGGAGCGCTTAAGGTGCAAAAGCTCAGTTCCTCAGATTACGGCCCGAAGGCGACAAAACGAACCTAATAAAAAAAGAAAATAACTAGAAACGCTATGCTACGTCTTCTAGTGTAAATCAATTTATCAATAATCTAATTCATTTGGAAGCAAGCAGTTAATAATCTGGATATTGTTAGACCTTCGAAAGTTTGACAAGTTTCCGCAAGTCATCGCTCGATTTCTATAGTATCATGCTCTATAATACGCGGAGTGACGTAACTGCCATTGACATACTAAGAAGACTAATGCCTATAAATTTCAAGCACTTATTGTTAATCGATTAGTGGTGACAAAGAAGGTCGCCAGCATAAGAGAAAAAAAAATTTTTATTGTTAGGGCATATTATCATTAATATAGTTTTTCGATAGATTTATTTTTTTATTATTATTATTATTATTTACTATTTTACGACTAACATTACCTGTGTCGACGGCAATTTTTTGAACAGAAGATAATCAGTATAGACTATATATAGATGGTCCTATTTAATCCTTCAAATATCCAATGGACTACTGAAAATAGGTTCAGTTGCACAAAAATGATAATAAAAATCCTTGTGCAATTCGCCACGCAGAGTTGCTTCTAGCTCCAACCCTATACTACAACAGCACTTCGCTCCCTTTCCAGTGACAAGCTCAACAGGCATCACCAAGGCGGTAGCTGTAACGTTACCTACGACTACAGGCCATCATAGTCGACAAGGTGGAGCAGGGCAAGTTTCGAATAGGCAGGGGGCTTCTCATGTTCGACCTGGCAAAGACGTGGCCTTACCTTGTCGCCTGTTGCCTTGGAGCGGTTACCGTGCCGAAACCTCACGGACGTATTACGCGCTTAGCAACAGCTCTGTCTGGGTACACCAAGCTGACTCAGGTAATGGTATAGTAACTGACTAGCTCATCCTTTTTTACCTAGCATAGACATATAGGGTTATTATCCGCTTGCGCCGTAAAGAGCAGCAGCAGCTATTTTTTTGTCGACGTTTTTTTTGAGTCTACAGTCGATGGAATGACTTCTCTAGCCTAAAACATTTAGCCACATACGATAGAAAGAATAAAAAATTATAATTTCATGATCTATACTAATGATATTTGGTTTCTGATAAATCAAAAAAAGACCAATAGGTAAAACAAGGAAAGCCGAAAAATTACATGCTTATTTGAAGCACGCGATCTTTTTTATTTGCAATAAATTTGTTATATTTGCGTTCACGCGTCAATCACTAAGTGAGAAAAACCTATTTTATTGAACGCTGATAACTTAATTCTAACCTAAGTTTTTGCTGAAGTTGGTCGCCCGTTGAACTATATTCTGTTTACCATTAAGGTTTTTTAACATTTGAAGTTTAGAATTTTCATCCCGTACGAATAGGCAATCGTATTCGGCACGCTCAATATAATCAATGTTGTCGTAAGTGTATAGGTGGTTTTGCATTTAACGGTAAGTATGCCGAACGCCTCTATAATCAGCCCCGCAGCCTCCCTTGAAATTAGTCATCTTATGAGAGACCTTTTTGACAGTGGTCTTTGTAAACCAACTTTTTCTCTATCGACCGGACGTTCCTTTATCCTATTCATTGTAGCTCACTATCGAGCGTTGGCGATAAGTGACTATGTTCTATCCAACATTGCTGAGTACAGGAAGCAGCCTCGGGGAGGAAGAGGGGGAGCTATGTGTGTCGTCGAATTTTCGTAGTTCGCTCGTTCCGGAGACAGCATTTTGTGCGGGCGTCGTAAGTTTCAGGGACGACAGTGACTCAGGCTGCACGTACAAAGCGGAAGATGTCGATGCGAAAAATTGATTTATCCGACATCAGCCGTCGCGTGCAATGGCAAAGTTAGTATGCTATTCGTGTAATGTACGCGACATTTTTTAGATTGAAGGAAACGCTTTACATTTTTCGTGTGTTGCAGTTATTTGCATTTTCATTGGATTCATTCATAACTTTTTCGAACTGTCGACGAAGTTCGTAGCATAGAGTAACTTTGCCTCAGATCTGAGATCTGAGGCGATCTAAGCCGAGCAAATACTACTGCCTTCGGTTGTGACACCTGCTCCGAAAAGAATATATATTAAATCAATTGTAGCCACAATGAATATTCGTTGATTTCGCCCCTTTTACCATCCTGCTAATACCTGGAAAATGAATAGCCACTTAACATCCAAATTCCTAGGAGGAGCTAGCGTGTTGGCAGAGAAATACGGCACGACTGAAGACGGCATTTGCTTTATGCAATTTTAATTAAGGTCTAGACACTTATGATTCCGCTGATTATATTCTTTCCTACTTTCCACTGCCCGTCAAGAAACCGGATGTCGGTGTCGGTGCCCTCTGGGGTCTGATCCCCACGTGCACCACGATCGAAATATGCAATGATCGCTTCTCGTACTTCGAGCGGCCTTTCTGTACTGGGGCATAATTTCGATGCAGATGTATTGGCATCTATTGAGGCTATTATGGGTTAAGCCGAAATTAGGTAGCAATTCTGATCTTTTTTGCTATGTACCCTCTATCCAAATATAAGGACCGTACATTTAAGAGAATAACTCCGCGCTGAATTACGTTTATCACTGTCGTACTTGTTATTTTTGCTATACCTGTAGGAAATATAAGTAGGGATTTTGAATACGGGGCTGGTTCGCGTTTAAGAGCGGAGAGACGCAGTTTAAGATAATTGAAAATAAAACACTGGAGTAATGCAAAAAAGTTCCGATAGGGGCAGTTAAAGCGACGCATATGACATTCTTATTATCAACCCGCCGATTGTTCAGTGTTGTTGTTGTGTGATGCTTACAATCGTAGCTAGAACGTGCGAAGGTTAAAATTGTCAGATCTTCCATTTTACGCCAACCAGATAGATTATCATTCAAATAGATTCATTGTCGAAATGTATTGCAATGGAAGAATTTATTTTATAACGGTCATGCTGCTACGTTCTAGCTCCTCTCAACCTTACCTACACGAAAGCTCCGCTATATCGACATACGAGCGCAAACATATCCTATTTCCTCTCACACGAAATCATTTAACAGGCAACAAAACGTATATTCCCCTAGGGCCCTTTGCTTTTCAGACAGGTTGACAGCCTCGAATTTGGCAGTCAGAATACTGCAACTTTACCTATATATCTGTCGCCTGAAAACAAGGATAACTGAAGTATATATATATATATAGTTTGAAATACCTGATAGCCTGGTTTTATCACTGACGCGAAAATGTCCTGACCCTAATTCTAAGTATTTGTTCTGTTTGGTTCTTCTAATTCTGCTTAGGTGGCTGGACTGAACTCCGCTCAACGTTAGTATCATCGTTTGTTGATGGATGGAAGGTCCGCTGCGAACTTCCTACAGATCAAGTCATTGCAGTAGCCAATGCTTCGTCCGTTCTGGTCTACCATCGCGCCTCAGCAAAGTAGGTTTAATTTGAAAACGTTAAGTAAACGCCACTTAGTTTGCGGCCCACCAAAAGGTAGCCCCTGTTTGTAAAAAGCAGAATTAATATATGTCCAAGTGTAAGGGGAACTTTTAAACAATAGGCCAACTACCTTTTCGGAAACTCGGCACCGAACAATCTCTTGAGAGGAAGACATTTTTATCAAAGGTGTGGGTGGCAGAGTCTGAAAACCCGACCCCCCGATGGGATGGAAAAGCAGCTACATATTACATTATGTTTGCTGTCTGCATTTTAGACCTTTGATTTGTTTTAAGCGAGCAGCACTCCCAGACCGTACTTTTGAAATCGTCACAAATGCACTTTTGTTTTAATTACCGTTTCCTCCCTGTCGATTTTTCATCGTCGGTAAAATATTATCAGCAGGGTTAACGGCATCATAGCTAAGGCTCATTTTCGCATCTCACCGCCTTTCTTGTAAAGGTGTTGTCTCCCTTGTCCTTAAGTAAAGTCCCTTACCGTTTTAGCTGAAAGGCGACTTTCACCGCTGCCTGTGCGACTCCTGCAGGCGTTTGGACTTTCTACCGAAAGTTTGCAGCTGCGTCGCCGTTTTCTTCTGCTTAAACCAAACTTTTCCTCCACTTCGCACTTGCCTTCGTTTGTTCCTTCGTTCGGGCCAAGGCTTTCGGACAGCTCGCCCGGTTCAAAGACGCGGACGCAGAATCTGTCCCACGGGCATATTCAAGAAGACGTTAGATCCGATTGGCCGAGAAGGCAGCTGGGAAACAAGGCTGCTAGCTGAGGGCGAACGAAGCAAGGAATACGGGAATTTGGTGGACGGGCCAAATTGCGCGGCGCTGGGGTGGCAAGTGGGCCATCTTTATGGTTCGAGGGCAAACGCAGGGAGCGATATGGGGGAGGCTGAAGGACAAGGGCATTCTTTCGAGTGTGTAGTGCTTGCAAAGTTCATGATGGAAAAGTGGCTACTGCTTGGAAAGCCGAGTGAGGAGGCAAATGATGTGCGATAGAATATAATAGTTTGCTTTGGTATCCCGTTTGCCCGTACTGCGAAAACGCTTCACTGTAGGGCATACTACCAAACGAGAAGGTCGGAACAGCAAGGAATAGCTAGTATGGCGACAGTGGATGGATGCGCCAGCAGTTGGTTAGATCAATATCATGTGACCGCACATATATTATATACATTAATAGTTAGGCCTTCAAAGGTTCCCTTTCTCTTGAAGGAAAATAGCTGGGAAAGCTAGGAAGTACCCCAACCGCTAATGATACCCCTTTCTTTCTCGAAACGAGAGCTGTCAAAGACAATGCTGACGGCGACAACAACAATTCTGGTTCTCGAGACCCCTCCTTCTTTCTTCATCGTGTTTCCGTATTTCCTCGCTCGACTGGGACTTTATGTCGTGAGGTTGAGAGAAAACCACTCCACTCGTTGGGTACTTTATCCACTTCCTTCTCAAGCACAGGACGGGTAGCTAGTGCCTTTCTGAAGTTGGATCCATAATTTCGCCAGCGATAATTGTAACCACGTTGGCTGGCACAGGCTAAGGCAGCGCGGCGGTCGTTGATGTGGCCGTCTTGCTACGCGATTCAATGGCAATGAGGGAAATGACACCTGGCACGCCCAAACCCATCCGCGGCGGTAAGGCCGGCTTCTCGTAACAGGGTGGTGCGTAACAACTCAGTGCCATGGATCAGAAACAGCCAAATTACACCCCTTGACGAAGTCACTGATTACTTTGATTACTACCACTGCTATACACACTAGCAGTAGAAGTAGTACGGTATTATAAAAAAAAAAATGCTAGCAACTTTATGCTAGGAGTGTGGCGAAAAGTTTAAGGACAGCAGAGTTTCTATCTACGGAAGTAATTATGTAGGAATAATTTCGGATAAATCGCATGAGCTGATCCGCGTAAAATTACTATCTTCGTTATCTAAAATTTTATAGCAATTATTTAGCTCAATATGTATATTGACCTAAATAATTACATGTGAGTTGTTCATATCCAGGTTATCTACTTATTGAAAGTTAGTTCGGCATACATCGAGGAAAACTATCCGTGTATAGAAAAAATACGTGCTAATATTACGAATGGTGGAAAGAACCTTATATCTCGCGCAAGATTTATCTGGTAAGTATTATCCCTATGGGACAACGATCAGCTTCTGGCCTTAAAGCATCACGTTTCGAATCGCAAGCATTTTGCAAGATCTCTGAAAGTTAGTTCAGCCTAATGGCAAACTTCGTCTGCCTCAGTCACGCCTCTTAGCGCCGTTGATTTTGACCCTAGCTTCATTTGCTTGGAGTCTCGAGCAGCCCAGAAATCAGATTCGTTGCTTCTCGCTACCGTTATATTAGAGAATCATCTTACGTGTGACTGACAAAAGATTGGAGATGGGATTTGGAAAGAAGTTAATCGAGATGGCAAAGATTATCAGAGCACAATGGAAAGCATTATTCATGCATGTGTCGGTTTGAACTCCGCCAGTCTCGATTTTGATAGCCCCACGGTAAAAGTTGACGTAGCTCAGAAGAGCTTAGGATAGCCTAGGTATTTCAATTGCAAACCAGATAGCTAGGGGCAAAAGCTCCAGACTTACCCACAAGCCTCAACTCCGTTCGCGCAACGTCCCTAGGCCGACTCACTTTAGATCACTCGCACGGCACGGGTCTCTGGGTTCTACCGGTACTAGTTCGTCGAATGTGATGGATAAAAGTAGGCTAGTCGCGCTGCTCCTCGGAGTTGGCAAAGACCGGCACAGAAGTAGAAATCGATGGCTGGGATACTATGCAGCAGTGGATGCATGACACAATCTAATGTACCTGTTACTACTAGTAGAGTCCATGTATCGTGCAAATAGGCACGAAGAAAACGTACACTGACATTCTATTGTATAGTTTAGAATTGCAGAGGGTGTTCGTATACTATTTAAGTAACTATGATTGTGTGGACTGTGATATTTGTGTCTGGTAGAATTGTTTCCCCCAGAGTGTTAGTAGTCGAAAACGTAGATTACCCACGGAAGCAGACTGCACACTAAACCGGATCAATCTTTGCATAAACAGCGCTTCCTAAAGGCGTTCACAAAAAAATGCTCGTGACCATAGTCTGAGTAAGGTTTATGATGTAGAAAAGAATCTCGAAAAAAAAAAAAAAAGGCAAATATGACTTTCTCGAAAATGGGTCATTTTGACTTTTTATACTACCGCCTACAAGAAGATGATAATGACAAAATGAGACAATACACAGTTGACCTAATGGGCAAGTCCACAAGTCTAAATCGCGTTATTGACACTTCCCTAATTGTCGTTGTTTCGTGCCAAATGGTTTATGTGTATCGTCGAATTTTGACTGTGAACTTAAATGAATTTCCCACATGGGCAAAAATATGATGCTAGGTGAAGAAATTACTTGTCTTCGTAGTTGGAGAGAATGAGACCTGAAAGAGAAGTGTACACGATAGAAAAGTCTTCGACAGTTTACCGAGCTCAACGTTGTGAGATACTGCGTAATTGAGTCAGCTTGGTTAGTGACCAAGCGATATTGGTGTCTCCTAACGCTGATTTGGCAGTTTTCATACCTGTTTTGCCTATTCGTTCGGCAGAACTCGTTGTTAAAGTATGCTGCTTGGGCTCACTATATGTGTGATGAAACTCCCTAAAATTTACCTAAAAATGCGTAGAGAAAATCGCGTAACTATCGAGAGTAATGACGCAGGAATTAGTTAACACGTTAGGTACCCAACAAGTTTACAAACATGCAGACGAAGCGGTGGGTCTGGGGTACCTAGCTGCATAAAGAGATATGCGAGCAATATGATTCGCTTAAGGTCCACGTTGAGTAATTGTCCAGTTACATTAGGCTTACTTGAAACATATCCGTATCAGGAAGGTCGAAGCCTCAGCTCCCTTGTGACCTTTCTTCCTGGTTCCGATACTGGATAATTGCTCCGACTAGCGACCGTTCAGAGCAAATCCCTCCCCCCTAGAGCTTTTACGAGATAGATACATAGAGAGTAAGCTGCAAACGTTGATGGAGTGAGAATTGGGATAAGCACGCTATAATCTGGGGGGCATGCTTTAATACTTCTATAATTATTATGTCCGTATATGGTCTATCTTCTATAGATGGTGGAACCTGAGTGGAACGGAAGCGGAGTCTCGACCTGAAGATGCTAAACTCGTCTGGTGTTACAAAGGGGCCGTGCACGTGTATTCGGCAATCAAAAGACATCTTTTACGACATGATACCCGCTCGTTGAAGGTTAGTAAACTTCATTAAACTTTTTAATGAAACAAGAATTCATGAGTAATTTTTTCAAATTAAATGGGCATGTTAATTTAATCTAGTTTTTACTCTGAATTACCATTAATACTAACAATATATTACAGGGCACACAGGAAGCGAGTCTTCTCCAAATTCGTTCTATGGTTTTACGCCATTAGTCACCTCTTTTCGGAACAAAGACGACACCCGATTCAAAACACCGATCTAATTGTTAGTTGTCGCCAATCGATCGGTCTGTCTAGTAAAGAAGCACCCCTATACGTCGGTCGACTATGATTATCAAGGCTCAAATCTTTATCCATAAATTTTGTAAAAAAAGGCACTGGATGAAATCTAACATGATTCTGCCCCAGTGGCTTCAAGCGGGAACGAGTTTAAAGGCGAACTTGTTCAGTTGGAAATGAAGTCTGGCGACTCTTCTACAAACGCTGACTGTTAAGCATTTAAATGCTTTAATTCTAATAAATATCGATAAAAAAAAAAAAAAAAAAAAAAAAAGCCTCGGTTCTCTCATTATCCAATTCAAATTAACGCATCCTATTACTGTTAGAGTTATATCGCCCAATATATATAAATCACCCTTTTACGATACTTACTCTGTTATACTGTTGAAATTGTTTCCATCTACCACCACCACGCAGTCTTTAGCTAAAATTATTATCAACTTTCATATTCCATGTGAGTACTAACTATAAGTAAAAATAATTACCTTCGGATATTTAAGCTTGTGCCCATTGCGTAGAGCTTAAAAAAGTAAGCGACCTTTGCCTCTAAACGCTTCACAAGTGCTCAACGGTTTCGAGATTACTGCCCGAAACGTCGTTTCGTTCTTCAGTTTACGTAGAGTTGATGAAAAAATGTTGGCATCGTTTACCACAGAAACGGTCTTCCCAGCCATGTCGTTTCCCTCATAATATAATCTGCTCTCGTCAAACTCGCCAACCAAAAACATCACAAAATATGTAATAGGAAGTATTTATAGTTTGAACAGATATACACATGTGTTTGCATCTATCTGCGAACAAGCTGTTTAAAAGCATAGAAGTAGTTTTCCTACTAGTTACATACTGTAATAAGTGTTTTGGCAAGCTGAGGGATACGTAACAGTTTGATTTCCTCCAACGAGTTTGATGCCATTCAGTTAATCAACCATCTAATGAATCATGGAAGCGTCTCTTGTATCTTAGCCTTCATGAGCTGAGGGACCTTTGCCTCATCACCGCTCAATGGATAAAAATTTATGTTGATCATTTTTCCCATTGTCTTCTCGGAAAATTAATGGAACAATAGTAGCATACGCTACCGCTGGTTGTTCGTTAGGATTAAGCTGAAACCTGCTGGCTGATATCCTCCTACGCAGACATCTGCTAAGCGAGCACGTGACGAAAACTCTGAATCAGACAATGGCAAAAGGCTAAGGTTTTCATAGAACAAAGATACCGTTAAGGTTCCAATACGTATAAGTATTGCCTTAGAGCTTCATCTACGAACTGTACTAGTCGATGCTTCGCCGGAACTCGCTATGAATTGGAACTGGCCGTAGTGGCTAAAAAGGCAGGGTTTACAATAGCTATAAGGGATTATACTACGTAGCATCAATATAGGTAGTTTCTTCTTGAAAAGAACCATAAAAACATGTTTCAACGATGCTGAAATTTTAAATCCTTTGATGGCTCGCCTATCGACAGATCTACTCCACCGGAGCCATCCGTTTTCAGCCGCTGTCGATCGACGTATCGTTATCACAGTGCACATTTATATAGCCCGGCTGTGTGGAAGGAAGTCAAGCGTACGGATAAGCGTCAGATGAAGTAACAATTATATAGCGTTTGCGGATTATTAAAAAGCACTCTTAATAATAAAAAATGGGCTATGAGATAATTCGTGTTGTACAGCGTTGGTAATTTCCTCTACACCGACCATTTCAAATTAGTTCTCTTCGACACCTAATGATTAGGCCTAAACCATGATGAAATTTCATAACCTCACAGCATCCTGACCGTTCTGTGCTACATCTGAAACCCACTAACAACGTATCGTAATTTTGGTGGTGTAATATGGCGGAAGCATGCAAAGCCAGGTTACTGTTAGCAATCCTTGTCAGATATGGAGTATTTGCGTATTGACGTGAGATTAAGGTGGTTTCACAAAAACCTCTAAACCTTAATAATGAAACTATTTGAAAGCAGCGAAATTAGGCCTATTCTAATGAAACTCTGTACCTGTAAGCATACAGATATGCACGTACGCAACGTACGCCAGTGGGCATCGGCTGTGTGTCCACTGAAACCGTTTGCCAAAACAGAAGCGTAAAGAAGCTGAAAAGAAGATCAATGACTTATATGTAACGCATGCTATTGTTTCTCAACAATGGGAAACAGGGTTTTTTTTTTTTTTTTTTTTTTTTTTTTCTATAGAGTATTCAACACATCTACCAAAAGCATGCAACATAATGTCGGTAGTTTCTACTCAAGCGCTAGTTACATAGGCAGTCATCGTATCAAATCATTTCTAGTCAAATATTTGTTTATAACTTCGTATCGTGACTGAGCATAGACGTTACACTGTGCGCTTAATTGGGCGGGTCAGCTAGACCCAATCATTATATCCAACTGTCTTTTTTCCGATATGCCCGACGACATGACAAATTATTTTTATAAAAAATATTTTTTCGCATGACCATATAATATACCGTTACTATTTGCTTTTAGCTACGTAAAATCCAGACATTGTCAAAGCTGTTACATATAGCACACAAATTTACAAGCACTTTCGCTATGAGTCAATTTGTACTGAAGAGGTCACGCGATTGTCTATAATTGCAATGCGTCCTTTTTAGCCTTTTCATATTTTTTGTCCTCTTCAATAATAAGCTAAGGTTCGTTTGAAATAAAAGTGTGTCCATCTGTACGCAAATAAGGCAAAGGAACATCGCGAACTGCTTCCTTACCTTGCCACGAACTGCTAGACATGGCGGCCTACATAGACAACTTTAAATTATTTGTAAGGGTTTTGCATTGTCGTTCGGGTTCTTTGCTATGCTCCCGTGATCCTTAGCAACTACATCTGCAATGGACGCGCTTAGACGACCTCTCTGCGATGAGCCGAAAGCACAATTGAGCTCACCCCCTGGCAAGATAGCGGTTACCTTCTAAGTTGCTAGGCAAACACTTATGCGTTTGTCTATGGCGGAGCCGCCGAGACAGATGTTAATCTAACGACGACCTCAGGAAGTTCTCTCCCTTCAGTTTGTGCATACGTTTTGTCTGGTCTCCATAAAATGTCGTTTTTTTTTTGGTAGCAGCTATTGCGTTCATCAAACAGCTTGCGTTATGGCGGTCCTGTATAAGCTCGTATAATGAATGTTCGAGCCAAATACTGTTTGGTACGTGGATCTAATGCTCTTATCAATACTTTATAACAACGCTAACTGGCGAAGGGCGAAGGAGTAAGGAATAGCTACGCTATTTTCTCTGGTACATGTATGTTTTGCCGCAATCATTGGCGTATTTTTGATGTTTGTGGTCTCTAGGTGATCGTCTCCACCACGAACTCACTGCCGTTGAACTACTCGATCAGTCCAGAGACACGACTGTACTATTGGTTCTTGTCCAATGGGTCACAGCTGTATGCACTCATTGAACGACCTAGAAATGGTAACAACTTGCTCTGTTGTTCAAAATTTTTTGTTGTATGAATTGGACAAGATATAAATTATCAGGCGACAGAAAGTACGAAGCGTCTACACGATATGCATATCAATAACTATCTTATTGATGTAGATGATTGAGAAGAGTCCTACACGCATTCACGGTTTCATCTTCCGTAATCAAATTATACAAATAACAGTATAAACTGAAAAACACAAGTTAACCAACTTAAAGATATATGAAAATCGAGCTCATACAAGATACCTTTCAAACTGAACATAGTCAGATGACGGTGCTATAATCCACTGTTATCCTAATGCCAGCCCTTTTCGTTGTGTACACACTTTGTGATAATTGTCCTGAAAAGAAATTTAGATTTTCTAATTGTCCTGCTTTGTCGTCACGAACAGTCCTTGTCTCAAGCTTACATTTATCTTGCGTTTCGGTTCAGCATCTTCAGTGTGCAACTGCTCGCTTCTTATGCAAAGTTCAACGGAGCAGTCTGAGCTCAGTTGGAGCATCGTCGATCAATGGAGCCATACAACGCAAACTACGAAACCCAGCCCCAGCGATGAGGTTTGCTAACTAGAATTTCTATTTTTGAATAAAATCAGATTCAAAACAATTGTCAGGTCAAGTAGAGAGAACAGATCGCGCTTCGCTTCGTGGTATCAACAGGTACATTGAGAATTACCCAGACAGTGGTTTTATTGCGTGGCCTTTCGTTCCTTGCATGAATCAATTATAGGCGCTGACGTGGAGCGACGGAACGCAATCTCTCTGGTTATGGCCTGGAACGATGCGCGACCATATTCATATTAATACAACTACTCCAAGGCCCCAACAGGGCTCTGAACTGTGGCAGTTCGAACTCGAGAGCCGCATTTGGCGGAAACGATCACTCGACGCTCATGATAATAGTAATAACAATATTCATCATAATTACATTTCTAATTTAAAGGGTAGTAACACTTACGAAAACAACCAATACTCAGCCAGCATGTTACATCGGCGCGTCAACTCCTCGCAAAAACCAAATACAGGCGAGTTCATTATGGAAAGCTCTGGATAGACAACTTTCTATATGTTTATGGTCAGGTTTATCTATAGGTTAGACCAAAGTTTGCATTAACCAACCTTACGACCCAACCTTGCTATTGGCCCGTCTTTTCAATGTCAGAAGTATATACGTTAGGCCTAATTTGTGTTTTTTTTGTTTTTTTTTTTTTACAGAAAACTATATACCTTTACTATATTGTAAAAAAAAAATAAAGTTCAACTATTGATTCATAGTTAGGTCATATATAGCAAAATGAGACAATGGCAAAGTTAGGTTGTGTGGGTTTATGCAAAGCATATTAATCTTATCGATTAATATTTTTCTGTACCCACAGCGACTAATAAGTTCTTAGTGGAAGTAATATGGTAGCAATAATTTCGACCTTTCTCGTTTCTTCGATACGTTAGGAGAAAGTGGTGCTCCACTTATGGGCTGGACAGACGGCTCCAGAACATGCGGTCTATTCAATCTGGGCGAGTGCCGAGAGCCCTTCAGCCTTGTACGGCCTGTGTGTTTACAAGTAAGAACCTGCAATTAAAAAAAACCTGCTCAAATGTAATCGTCAAACGTTTTATCGACAACATTAATGTTCGTAATGGGCGACTATTACTGAATTATTTATCTTACGGCATTAGTCCATTCCTTGAGTGCTTGTCCAGTATCAAGCGAAATTCAAAAATATCTATATATTTTCGTAAACAATGGACCCTGTTGTTTGCGACGTCTTTAACCTGGTTTCTAAAGGCCATAACGGTAAACATTGTTCCCATGCTACGAAAAATCATGAACTAGATATCTAGTATTATAAATGCTGCCTTTACCGGCCACTTGATCTGGGTAGCCTATAAAGGGCCGCATATTTACATAGATCGAAATCGAATATAGTACTATATTCATATATGGTACACAAGATAATAGCTTATTATAGAACTAAAAAACAAACATGCTTGTGTACTACTTTATAATTCATCATCCACTGTTATTACTTGTATAGACTTACTTCAACTGATTTGAAACCAGGCCATCCACACTTTAGGATCATACCTAACGATGGTTTTAAGTTAAGGTGGTTAAAGTTAATTCAGCGAATTCGTCTGTCTGTCTGTCTGTCTGTCTGCAGGTGGCTGGTTTAACAAACCCAGTTCGCCGGCCCGGTAATAATAAGGGTGTGGCAAAAGGTCCAAAAACGCGTCCTTCGAAACGACCACCACGGGTTCAACTTTTATCTACGATGCGGCCTCCGCCCACGCACCCGAGCAATGTTACCCCACCGCGAACAATCACAGGTAGAATTAGTAAAACATTCAGGAAAATTTGTGTACCCTTTATAACTTTTACGATACATTCCTGCAATTATTTTTCAAGACAGACAGAAAACAAGGGAGAACAACGACAAGCGACCAATGGGAGAAAAGTGATGTCAAAATCAGCCTGATATTTTTTAAGCAAATGAAACAGACTAAAGCACAATAAGCCTAGAATATAATATAGACCAATGTCCTTGTTTTGAGTCAGAATAATGTTAAAACAAATTCCACTCACGACAATGGGTCGAAGCCGGAACGTATTTAGAGGGTTCTGCGGCTGTTAGCTGAAGCCCCATATTATCGAAGTAATCCGCCACAAATGGGTGGCCGGATAATAAAACCGGATATGCACACTAATCTCTTATGAAAACTGTCTTTTTTCAATATATTACGTGTCTCGTGCGGTTTCGTAAATAGATCATACTACACCGTTCAGTACGAGCTCGTCAGCAGGATCAGTGGCTTTGTGGTCGGACGAAGCAGCTGCTGTGGACACCGAAAATTCAGTGATAGCTGTCACCACTGAGGATCTTGCTGACGAGGAGGTTGATGGGGACGAGCTCGATCTTGAGCTTGGTTCGCCGTGGCACGATTCGGAATCAGGTAGGTGCGCTCTTATTGTCATCAAGCTACCGGCCTTAATACACATATCCGTTTCTGTTGTTATTCCAGATGGAAACCCTATTTATTGTCATTTGCTTCAGAAATGATGGATTAGATTTTATATAACAGTATGTATAGACGATATGGTTCATACTAAACGTGTGCGCCCCTCAAGTGGCAGATTGGATTAATTAACAGTTACTACCTATTGGTGCACTGCATCGAAATGCACTTGAAGAAACCGTATCATTGATATAGGAATTGATACGAAGATTCTCAAATATATCGGCGAGCCTGCTTAATGATACGGCAAAAGTAGCTGCTATATATGCTTTGACCTACATCATTGGACCTAATTCTTTTTGCTTCCCCAGTGAGACGCCAAGAATCCTTGTTTCGACCATATGAACATCGACAGTGGCAAAATGATTTTTCCCAACATGATTTCTTCATCTGTTTTTCTTGTATGATGCGTGTATCTGTTTGTCGTATAGGTGTATTCGATTCAGTTGTTTTCTGCGCTACTTCAGCGGTAGCATTATGCCTCGTATCGGCGCTATGGTGCGTACGTCACTGCGCGCCGTTTCCAAAAGAAGCTCTGCTTCCTCTTCGTGACCCGCCATCCGTCCGGTACACAGCAATTCCAGATCATACGCTTGCCTGATTTTGTCCGGAGGGGGTGGACCCCTGGGATGACGAGGCAGATCGCGTGGGCGCTGGTATCGCTTCAATGGGCGGCCTTACGCCCTTCGCGACGCCCTCGAGTCCCGTTCCACCACCGCCCCCTCCGCTGGACTCAATTCTTGACACTGCTCGTCTGTTACAGCAACGAGACTGCGATTAAGAAAAGAGAAATCGTAAATAAACACCAAGGAAGGCAATTACCGCTCCTTCGTTATGGAGGAAAGCAAATTCCTGGCAGTGTGATGTTCACAGTTTCAAGCCGATCGTATCTCGTCATTTATGGACGTAGAAATAACGAGCTATGGGGTGACCTTATCAGCTAATATGGATACCGTTCTGCAATCTCGTAATCGAAGTGACAGTCAGTGGACATTTCAGATTATACGTAACACGATAGTTCTTGAGGATGTCTTTTTGAGGAATACGTGAGTCTTTTTGAGAAATACGAGGAAGCCTTGATTATTTTAAAAAGAAAGTTTTTAGCCTTCCCCCGATTACTCTCGGCTTCCTCTGATGACCGAAGATGAAGGAAACCGCTCTGTGTAGGACAAATCGTACCGGATTTACTGTACACAATGCAATTGTTAAGTTCGTGCAAATACGCAGAATGAATAAATCGACAAACTTACCTACTGCCGAGCTAGTGAAATTTATCGTCGGATAGGAAAGGACATCGTTTGAAAGGGCGCGAATCATGATATCACACTATGGGACGCTTCTAGGGTCAGGTTTACAGGGACGAGCGTGTGCCAAGTGTAGTACTGGTAGAAGCCATGGGCCTTTTATGATGCTGCCAGGGCAAACGTAAAGCAGAATTGGTCGCACAAACACACTCATCCATCCATCCATGGTTCAGGTTGAACATTTTAGAATATTTCTCAAGATGATAGCCGCCGAGCTGGTGAATATAATAAAGGCAGGTGCGGGCTTTTTCCTTCATGAACTAAAATTACCTAAAAGGGCTTAATGTATCTACGTAGGACGATTAATACTAAAAGAGGAGAAGGTTGCAGCTATTGGAAAAAACGTACGCCAATTGTAACCTCTTGTACATAATTAAAGGAGTATATAGAAATGCAAACGTTCGAATGACGAAGTGCGCATCCCCGTTCAAATAGATCCCTTGTCAGCGTCCAGTGTTGTAAATAGCGGCATGTAATCTACAAGCACGAACACTAACTTACGTGATCAAGTTATTATGCCGATACATGACTATACCTCAAGGTCATACTTCAGACAGTTGCCTCAATAGAAATAGCGTTGCGTTACTGTGCAATCAGAGTATAAGTACGGGCCTGATAAGCCTGCAAGACGCTAACAGTCACCTATAGCGCACGGGCTGGCCGCAACGTTGTAACGATATGTTCAGAATATTCTATTTTGAAGCAGAATGTAACTCTATTAGAATAATGTAGCATATGCTAAATAAGCAGTGCCAATGGATAAACACCGTTGTCTGTGTCACTGTTATCGTTACGGAGCTAAGGGCATCAAACGCACTCTGGCTAACCAAACGATTTTCGAAAAAACACAGCCATATGTTTATCGAGGTATATACAAACACGCATTCAGGAGTTTGTAACAGCGAATTTGACTAATGCCTTTTGCAGACGAGGAAGTGTTTTCTTTTCTTTTCTTTTACGTAAGACTGAAGTATGTATTCTTACGCAATATTATTATCGACTGCCTAGTAAAAAAAAAAAGCAGAGACACAAAAGAATTGTGTTCTGAAGGGGGACCCCGACGCTTAAATACGGGAATACAATTCTGTCCTGTCACATAAGTATGTTAATGTTAGATACACATGTTAATAAAGTCAAGTTAATTGCTCCATAATCATTACGGTCTTGTTTGAAATAAGTATCAGTTTCTATAACTGTGATATGAACATTGATTAGTCGCATAGTCTTTCTGATCGCTATATCTGAATGTTATACCATAATCAGATGTGTTACCCAGGAACCTAATTTTTGGTCATGTTGGGACTGCCCACTATAGAACTGTTTTTTTACAGAATTATTTTTGTTTCGAGCTTTAACAGGGTTACACTTCGTCTTTATACCGAATACAAGCCAGGACTTTATCCTGGAACACTTGTGTTAGCGTCTTAGTTATCTATTTAAGTTCGGTTTTTTGTGATTTAAATGTGCGCAACTTATTTATATGAGTTACACATGGCAGGCATATGGATTAAATGGTTAAGTTAAGGAAGGCAAAACGTGGCCTCGCAAATAATAAGTTTATAACTTGAATGGTATTCTGAAATTACCAGAATTACATTCCAATTCAACTCGAGTATATTGAGAGAAATGTAAGTTACATTAACTGTACTATAGCTTTCGGTAACTTGACACATAGAAGTTTGTTAGGAATAAAGTAAACTACGTTATTTTGGATGATGAACTTGCGACCGTGCTAAGGCTTGGAACGATGAAATTCAGTGGGAAGGTCCGCTACGTCTATAGATTTTTAAGCTCAGAGAGATGATAATCTAAGGCGACGAAGGGTGATGCCGTAGTGAAAATTATAACCGAAGCTGAGGAAGCACGTGAGTTCTCATTTCTATCGATCCTAAGGAAGCACGTTGTACGTCATATGGGCTGACGCCAATATGGGAGAACTTTACAATGAATAAGAGAGCGACTGATCAACTTGTTCAGCAAAAAATTGCTATTTGTTGGTAAGGCAAGGTGTCCCTGCTGTTACCGAGCTAGCACCCTTTCTCAGATGGTCTCATACATCCATAATTTAGTATGGTGTTTTTCAGAAGAAGGAGTTTTCATTGAATACCTATATAGAATAGTTTTTATGGCATGCTAAATACGCTGTTTTACAACTGTAACATCCTGTGCTTGCTATTTAATAGGTTGTCTAGTATCTATGTTATTATTTTATATGTAACAAGCAATCTGAATATAAGTCATTAGTGATAGTGATTCATGACGTCGGCGCTTGACCGGTCAACGCCTTTTATCTGCTGTTCCTGTACTATTTACTAGACACCCTTAGAATGATTCGTATTTTTTTAGAGCACCAATCGGTCTCTCTCTCGTTTAACATTTTGTGTTTCCTGTTATATGGGGCCCTTATCGTTATACTGATGTTGTATTAAACTTCATAGAAAAAAAATTACAGACCTATTTTCGTCGTTCTATTTAAAAAATGTTGTTATTATCGTATTAAATTGATTGAAATAATAAAACCTATAAAATGCTAGAACATACGCGGACTGAAAGACAGTAAATATACGCTTCCTATTCACAAATAGGTACGCTCTCATTTGAATTACCAATCCCTAACAGCTTCAACTTACATTCCGCGATGATCTATTTTACAATGGTTACCATATTTATATACTTCCTGTTCTCCTACAAGAATGTAATGCACGAATAAAGGCATAGGAATAATTATAATTAGTATACCACGCAGAAAAGAACAAAAAAAAAGTCCTAGGTTTACCTATCCACCAGACTGCTTGTGGCTCATGTGTATACGTATTAGTTGTTTGTGTAACGGAATTCATTAAACGTAGTACCGACACTTCCTTAACCATAAAGATTCCCCATTAACGTAAGATACTTAGCACGTTTTGTATTAAATAAGTCTGCCAACACAGGTAAACACAAGTGGATACTGTACCTATTTCTAAGCGAGTCGTTTTTTAATGGAAAGAGAATTTTTTAAAGATGGCATCTTTTCGAAGCAAACCTTTCAAATATGCTTTGTACTAGAAATTTCGTCGGAGAAACTATCGAATTCAGATCCATAGATTGCTCCTCCGCTGTACTCTTTTAGGCGCCCTTCAATTCTATCTTCAACTTATACTTAATCTTCCGAATAAAAATTTGTATGACAAGCTGTGTCTCCTATGCCACTAACATTCAATAGCATGAAATGCGTGGCTGTTCCAACACCGAAGTAGCCCGCACCTGAGGAAACCTTTTGTATCCGCATTATATGTACAGAATGCTTATCGCAGGCCTGCCGCGAGCCTTACCAAGGCAGTATTTTTACGTTGTGAGCGACAAGGTTACAGGGTGTACGGAAACATTCAGAGATTTTCCACTGACAGTACCTGCTAAGTTTCCAGTAGCGTGAGTCGTTAACTCCAAAAACACACCTTAACACATACTTTTATAAGGAGGGCTACGAGAGGCAAATCTGCAGGTTCTTCTCGGCTTTAATTCCAGCCTCCTTCCAGGAATCAACACCGGAAAAAGCGCTGACTTCGCTTATTCTTGTTTAGGTGGAGGACGGACTTTTCTTGAAGACTGAGCACAAGTCATTAAGGTCCTGAGGGTGCACTAAAAGTATTAGGAACCAGGATCGTTGGGAGAGCTAAAACTATTATTTGGAAAATCACACAAAATGACGATAGAATAACACTTGACAGGACTTGATTTGTATAACAAGAAGTGGATTTATTTCTCGCTAAGCTTTGCTATCTAAGTAGTCAGAGATCCCATAACGATGGTTCTCTTAGGCAATCTTTTTGTCTATCATTATCATCGTTACACATAAGACCAGCCTCGAACGCAGTGTTCGTGACTATTAAACATTCACATGAGGAACGCTTGTCTACGTTCTGTTTGAAAGAAATGCTGTTCCACTCTATCCATTTTGTAGAACTTCTAGAATTGTAGATAAATGACGAGCTTGTTTAGCATAGAAAACACAGACTGTCACAGAACCACCACAAGTCAGTTATAATTCATAAACAAGAAAATGCCCTTCATTGGATTTGCTTTTTACAAGCAGAAGCTTTAGATTGAGTCGGCAACGATATAAGGTTACTGAGAACTGTCCTTTGAAGTAGAAACGGTTTTTGCACTAAGTTGTTTAAACAAATTAAGTTCATCTAAAACGAAAAAGATCAGTTGGCTTATATTTGTAGTGCGAACTTGTCTCAGCGCGTAGAAACAAGAACGCCTAATTCAAATAAAATCATCCTAAAGGACGTAGGCCCGGTCCCAAACAACTTATAAAGGACTACATAACACAGCTTCTCGCAGTTTATACAAAGAGCGTGTGTATATATATATATATATAAATATAAAAAAAGTTATATTGCATGTTAAACGACATGGTTCTAGGAAAAATATGCCGTTAATTTCTCCCATACAAAGACGAGCCTATGCCGCATAGATATACAACGCAAACACGTAGAATAATTCTCTCTGATTTTTTATCTCAAAATATTTAAACACCTATGTTTTAAGCAGTAACACAGACATAACTGACGCGAATCTGTCCATTGCGTTCTCTGTATCATTGTGACGGAAGACACGCAGTTGCGATGCCCCCAATTCGACCTATGGCTCCTTTCTCTATTGTACTTCATAGCATGATATTTATCGGCACATGCCTTTGACGCTGTGAAGTTGCACCCCCTCCCCCTCCCCCCCGAAACACGTTGAGAGGTTTACGGGTTTATTCAGGCACCTTAACAAACGAAACATTTTGGTTTTAGGATTAGGTAAACTACGGGCGCACTTCCTGTAGAGGGTAGCTTATAGACGTAGTATAGTCACGGTAAAACGCTACTTCGATAAGTTTAAGTGCTATACATTACGTTAAGCTAGGTATCCAAGAGCACCGTTTACACGAAAAAATTTGTTTGGCGGCTTGAATCAAGCTAGGCGATACAATAGGTGACTCCTGCAATTTTTAATCCTTATTTTTGCAGGCTGCAGTTTAAGTCGGACAAACGACTAGAGAGGTTATAATATAATTTATGGCCTAATGCAAAGTCTACTAATACCTACTTCTTGATCATGCAGGTAAAATTATGTGCGAAGACTGGTAGAATAAATGAAAGAATATGGCGGTGTAGGCGATTTTTACCGTATATGCGGGTATTTATTATTGTGGCAAGGGTATCGTACAAGCCTCGGGTCGTTTCTTTTGGATAACTAACGTATGGTGAATTCCTAATCTGGTGTTTAATCTTGCATAGCTTTAAACTAGTCCCAGCTTTGTGAGCGGCGTCTCCATCTGACACGCTGCTTTTACAGCTCCCTTTATTAATTTGGGTAGCACCATGACTTTTGTAGAAATATCGTTCACCTGAGACCGGTTGATGCTGGCCTAATCGATTCTCCTCCTTAATAAGATATGCTAAATCAGCTAATTGACTTTTTCCGCTCAGGCAACACGAGATTGGTACAGCGGTTGTCAGCTAGCGCTTCAAGTAAGGAACTCGATAGCAATGAAGTTACTGTCGACGAACTTTCGATTTTAACTAGCTCCATCACCGAATCATCGGAGCAATCTGATCGAGTTTAGATTGATATATTGGAGCGGCACTACAGAGTATTACTGTCGCATTGCGTACACAATCTCGCAGTGCCAAAGTTTGCTCATCGAATAACTTGATAAGCGTTCGGTTATTAAAGCAATGAAAAGTTCTTCCAGTTCCTCAGGACTACGTTGATCTTATACTCTTAATAATAGCGAAGTGCGACGAAGCCAAGTTTTTTTCATACTCACGCAACTATCATCTTGTAAGTGATGAACTTTTCAATCAATAGATATATATGGTATAATAATCTACTCTCTAAAACTGATTAATAACGGGTGCTTAGAGTTTTCGTCGTGCCGTTTATTTATGAAAGACGCTAGAATTTCTGCTGCTAGCTGCACACGAACATTTTGGGTTTACGTTATTTGTTTTATTCTATGCAACCTATATTACGTTAGGGGATAGGTTAAAGTCGAACAAATAGAGCAGTGTTTCACTTGAACTATAACAACCTATTATTCATTGTTTCCCTTTTTCGGAAATTTTCAAATCTGGAATTGAAAAACTTGTCTAG